AAAATTTAGTCAAAGACGAGAAAACTGCACAAGAAATTTGCCTTATTTACACGTATCGGCAATGCAAGCTGCCATGCGACTTCCCCTTCTGACGTCACAAGGGGGATTTCTGTATGCAAATGAGAAACTAATGAGGATCCTCGTTTTAAAATACACAAAATAAAGTTGCCGTAGATTGAGTTTAAAACACATTTTTTCACTTAAAAAAAATAATTCATGCTTAGGAACATTAAAATTAATAATATTTATGTATCAATGGATAATTTTAGGCGTGAAAATAGCAGCCATTTCACAGGCACTTTAAATGTACACTTCGACTTTACCAAATATGTATAATATTCCACTTCCCGCTTCATGAATACTTCTTTTTTGCTAGTACATATAATTGTGCTTAGTTTAAATATACTGCAATTGATTTAAATTGAAATGTGAATTGAATTTCATTGTTAACCCAATTAATCCATGTCGCGAAAAGTCCACAACAGAACGAACTGTAAACAAATACAAATAACGGTAACATTAACAATTTAATTTTTAAAAACACTATTGATAGATCCTGATGCCGTAGGTAAACTAAACTGGAATTCTCTACAATTATTTCTTGGTTCCAGTACAAACATATAAGTCGGCTCGATTCATTTTAAAATTGAATTGAAGCGAATTCACTGAATTAGACCTAAAATTAGGTGGCGCTAAAACTGAAGTCATTTGATCACGAGTTATTTAAGGTGTACGCAATGAGATTATGATATAAACAAGCTGGTTTGCGATCAACTCGGCTCAAAAAACAAGCAACAGGTCTTTAGAAGTCACTTTATTTTATTGCTAGGACGTATTATGCTGTTAAATTTATTATTTCCAAACGTTTTGCCATAGTATTTTCTAGATTTAAGACAGCATTTACAGTTCATCCAAATTTCAAAGTAGCGTTGGGAGTACGTTGATACAGTGTAACAATGTCGGCGACGTTGATCTCTAACCAGTGTGCAACGTAGCCAAAATAAAAAGCATGATCATTTGAACACTGCTAATACAAGACTGGTAGGAGGTAAACAAATTTGGGCGAAAGTCTTCCAATTAGTGACGGTACGAACAACTATGAACAAAATCAGCCAAGCCAAAAAAAATCACAAAGGAGTTAAAATCCGTTGCTGATGAAAAAAAAAACAGTACATTTATGCTCACACTCAAGCTGAGTAAAATGAGCTATGTCTGAGGTGTTGTATCCTGAGTTTGTAGGAGGAGATACATTTGGCGTGAAGCTATTAAAAAATCAGTTTTTTGCCGTTGCTATGGCAACGGTGGACCAGCATTTTTCCTAATAAGGTGAAGGTGTGACCTACCTGCCAAAAAGATCACAGAAGTATGAGAAGGAAATTTTTCTTCTCTGGGTTCTCCACACGTTTAAGGGGGGAATATCGTCTCTCTCTCTATCGCGTCCCCTTGAGGTACGGGATCGGGTCACTTAAGTCACTTAAGCCTTACAGTCAAATAGACACACACAACGAAATACGTTTCAACTCTCGTCTTTAGTCGGCCAGTCGAGCACTATATAAGACACAGCGCCCTGGGGAAAAGTCCCCAAGACTATCGCAAGGCTGACCCAAGACTCTGTCCTTAGACTGCCTCTGTCGTGGTGTTCTCGCCAAGACCAACTAAAACAACTTTATTCATTTTCAAAACCTTAACCAATTACAAAGCAGTTTAAAGACTCTAGGACGTAACCTTCAATCATACAGCCAATCACACTAAGTACTGACCACGTCATATCTTTTGATTAATCGTTCACTATATTAGTAACTGCGAATACCAACTGTCAGAAATAGTAGTCCGAATAGCGACGCTTATATCGTAATTAGTTCCAAATCACTGAGTCGAGTTCCAACCAGGACCTCGCATGAGCCTAAACGATGACAGACATAACACAGTCATTCGCTAGTAATCAGCTAAATAAGTCGATTAACAGATACGCGTAATGAAATTCATCACAGAAGAATTAATACGTGAAAAGACTGGAAATCACACACACACTCACACACACACACACAAGTAATTTCAAGAGCAATCCTAGCGGAGCGGAACGCCAACACAACATAGAGTAGTAACGCTCGTTTTCTTAATAAACTAGGAAAAGCATTTTTCAATGTCAAGAAATACTTGGTAACCCTTTCCCATTGCTCACATTGTATAAATATTCAAGGACACTATCACTACATATAACTCAGAAAAATGTGAGTAAGCAGTGAAAATGTGCCAATGGAACTTTCGTGCTTCCAACTACGTAAAAGTTTAGTTATTAGTAACATCACAGTTAGATACATTTACTGCATTTTTTTGAGTTGTGTACCATTACTCTGGCATATCTATGATCCAATAACATCACTATTAATAATATCAAGTGGGTATGAGACAGTGTGTTCAAGACTCAATCATGTTGGGGGTTACTTGGGTTGATGTTTTCAATTGCCTCAGTGTCGGAATGGGCGTTTTTGTACAGAAGCTGACTTTGAAAAATGTATTACTCTATTTATTACTTTACTTGTAATAATACATCCGGATTACTGTGAACAGTCAAATAACAATTATGATCAACACCAGGTACACGGATACTCACGTGGAACAGCATAAATTTGTCTTTCGCCAACTATATCACACACAGAGTCATTATTAGTAATAACTTTATTAAACTAATATGCCATCAGAGGGCGCAGTTTGGTAAATAAAATAAAATAATAAAAATACAGCAGCTAAAAAAACTAAAATATGATAAGATAAAAATATACTTAACAGATGTTAAAAGCTGAATAGAAATTTTTTTTGTTAATTACAGGAATCTCCTACTGTAGAGGGTGATAGCTTTGGGGTATAAAGCACCTCAGTATTTTAATGAAATTGGTTGTTTTATTTAGTTCTTCTTTTTTTGTTGAAAAATTCCGTCTAGCATAAAATGCTGTTCGTCCTCAACTGAATTTGTATGACATTTTTTACAAAATCGCTCCTCCACAGGAATTGTTTGCTCGTTGTCGTCTGCTGCTTTTAATTTCTAAATTATTATCACTAAGCCGTGAACAGTTAGGAACTTAATACTCTGTCACTCTTTGCAAGTTCCGGTTTACATTTTGGTACAAAGGTAAAGGTCATGATCATGTATTTTCGTAATATAACGAATAATATAAAAAAAGTAGTTATTTTCATTGTTAAGAATTTACACTGGTCAACTTGTATTCACTTTATTTTATTTTGTCTTATAGGTGTGGCCACTCCATGGAACGACTGGAAAGTTACACGTAAACATATGATCAAGACATTAAATGAATATGTTGTGAAAAATCAAGGAATGGAAAAGTTTCTGAAAACAGAATGTGATGTTTTAGAGAAGTACATCTCTAATGCTGCAGGAAAACCAATATATCCAAAAGATGCTATCTATAATGCAATTGGTAACGTTTTCTGTTCCCTGGTGTTCAGTAAAAGATTTGAATACAGTAATGATGATTTCAAAACACTTTTGGCGAAGGTGTCTAAAAAAGCCTCATCCAATACTGATTTTTTAACATTTCTACCATTATTTTGGCATATTCCTACAACCAAGAAACGCATGTTTCTCTTAGTTGAAGCGGAAGTGTCATCACTAATCGAAGCCATTATTACCGAGCGTCGCCAACAGTTGCTGGATAGAGAACCAGAAAATATTATCGATTCATTCCTTATTAACCCAGATACATATGGAGGTAACACCACCAACTTAGTTGAAGCTGCAAAAAGTATGTTCATGCCAGGGATAAATTCAACATCCAGTACATTGTTGTGGGGAATACTCTACCTCGCCTTGAACCCGGAGATCCAGGAGAAGTGTTACTCGGAAATAGTGAAAGTAGTGGGAATTGAACAACATGTTTCACTGCAGAATAGGGAAAGCCTTCCATATGTTGAAGCAACAATTCTAGAAATCCATCGATGTGCCAGTGTTCTTCCACTTGGAGTGCCTCGCCTAGTTAATACAGATATGAATATAAATGGTCACACCATACCTAAAGGTACCACAGTGATAGCAAATATATGGGCCAATCATATGAATGAGAAGAAGTGGTCAAATCCATACAAGTTTAACCCAGATAGATTCATGGGCGATGGCATCGCACACAGGAACCACGTTATTCCATTTTGCATTGGTAAATAGTTTGGGTTTTATTATGCATAATCATATTTTAAAATATATTCACTAATTCTAAACTTATATAGTAGGTTGTTTGCAATTCTAACATGTTGATTAATCACCAAAATAATTCCCGATTATCCAACTACATTGTAAACGGCAAACCTTAACAAATATTGAATGTGCAGCCATAAAATTATTCTAATTGATACATTGAAGAATGAACTGGCATTTAGAACGAAAACAATTAGATGTGTATGTTCAGTGGGATCAGAACTAACAACTGGTGTCAAGCTTCCTTGTTTTTTGTAATAGGGAACAGAGCAACGACAACCTGACACTTGGATGGCCATCTTTTAACATGTATCACCTATGCCTTTCATTTTATATTGTATATCGAACCCTATATTGGATAAAACAATATTGATATTAATGTTGGCAGTGGGAAGCCAATGATGGATGTCCTGAAAATCACAGTGTGAAATAGCCAGTTGTAAGCTCACTGAACAAAATTTCGAACTTCACAGTAGATTTTTACGAACTGTAAAACAAATTGGCATGGATCTTCATTCAGTTTCCCATTTGGTAATCCACGTATTTAGGTAGTGGTGATCAAAGGGCACTGATAAAACCCACTGTTTTTGTAGGGAAAACACGCCAACCCTTGAAGTCAGTGTTTTGAGCATCTCATCAAACCGAAATTATTTGTTTGTATGTGCATATTATCATTACTAATGAACAAATTAACAGAATTTACTAATTATAACTTTTGATTCATTGTTTGAACAAACTGTAATATAAGTTTTATCTCACTTACAGGTTTGCGTGCTTGCCCTGGTCAAGACTTTGCCAAAGTGAGTATATTTACTATGATAACACGACTGATGCAAAAGTTCATGTTCAAACTACCACCTGGATCTAAGGCACCATCCATGATAGGGCAACCTGGAGAGGCAAGACAAACATTTGATTATGACGTTGTATTTGAAATCCGCCATTAAATAACGATGGTGCTGTATTCATTCGTTAAGAGTAATAGTATACATATTTAATTTATGATTTAGTGTATTGAGCCTAAACAATAACTTATTCATTTGTAATGATATTATAAATTAAGTTTATTTAAGCATATAACAATATAGCAGCAAATGCATTGTAGTAACAGTGTAGTAATTGACTACAAATTGGTCTTTGAAAGATAGTACAATGTGAAGTATAGATTATATATTTACTGATTGAACAACAAATACATATGTTTGCTAGTTAAATGTGAATAACTAATATACTAAATTAGAGAAAATACCATGGATGAAATTGCTTTGCTTTGGGGTGTGTACAACAAAGATGAAGAATCGCTCGACTTTGATGGGGGTTTTTCCTAAGTCACGCATGTGTAGAGGTCGACGTATAGAAAACATAATTTTCATCAATTTCTAAAAATATGATATTGAGATATTGCATCTGGAGTGACTACTAGAACACAATTATTAAACATATAATGCAGTAATATTAAAAAAGTACATTAATTAGTATGTTAAGAATACCTCAAAGTATGCATGAAGTACAGCGGCAGTATCGGCTGACGCGCAGCGGAGGATGCGAAGGCATACTGTCTGAGTGTATACTTTGCGGTATCCTCGTATTAACCTTATTATTATACATATTTCCCTTCCAAGGATACATCATTGGAATGCCAAAATCTAAAATGTTTAGGACAGATTTAGCGAACTTTTTTGTGTGGAGTCGGGTCAAACCCTGAAGGCTGCGATGTTTATTTTATTATTGTAGGACGCTCACGCGCGTAATTGCTTCATATTTTAAATTCGCTTTTCTTAATATGGCAGGATGAAAATACCTAGTGCAATATGGCACGCTGTAATATAGGGTAGGCAGTGATTCATTTAGTGTATAGTGTGACTATAAATTACATTTTAAAAAGATATATCAAACTAATATTAAAAGCACAAATCGGAGTTTAAGGTTATAGCAGATGAAATGAAAGTTCAGTAAGAATATTAGGTATATATATGTATTGAAATATAAAGCATAAGTGTATTTCAAAGAACAATAATTCGTTCGCCGAGATGATGAACTACATTATATAATGTATTTATTAATATGGCGGAGTCATATTACAAACGACGTATTCGTTTAATCAGAATGTCATTATATTAATATTTAAATCATAACATTCGGTTTATCGAAACGTTAAAGTATTGCACACAAAATACGTATTGTGTAAAGTAACTGTAAAGTAAAGTTTCTATAGTTTGAATAAAGTGCGTAAACTTCATAACATATATGTTTAAATTTACCGTACAAGTTTGTTTGAAAGGTGACAGTATATACCACCAGTGTCCTTATGTGTGACAACTTTTGTCTACAAAAAGATTGGTCGGTGAGTGGTAAAAGCGATTTTACTTCAAGGGAACTTCACTACTCATAATTTAACCCGTTCTCAAGTGAGTTTATTTATTCCTAAAGCAACACTGTTAGTCACAGACAATGCACCAATACAGTAAAACTGCCTCCATTCTTTGCTGATTTCAACCCCATTGAAATGTACTTTGATGAAAACGTCAACAAGATTCGCGAGCATTAAGTCACATTCAAACTAGAATCCCGATCTGATCCTATCGTGATAGAGTTCGGTCCTACATATCTTCTCGTGTTGTTTTAGCCAATGTGATTACTTCCTATATGTTACGTACCGACAACGGGCTGAAACCAGTTCAGTGTCGCGTCGCTGTATAAAGTTTATGAAAGAAATATGTTTTACAGATATAGACAACATGGCTTGCGTAATTATGGGCATTTATTGCACGGCCAACTCCTGGTTACTTAAAGCGCTACGAAGCCGGGCAGTACGTGATATATACTGAAGATACTTCGAGTAAATTTTGCAAGAAGTGTTTTTGTTAACAACAAATTATGAGCTTCAAAGTTGTGGCACAGATTTATCACCAAGCCAAACAAAGGCAAACACTGGGTTGCACGTGAGGTAATTCACCAAATATTTAGTGCAGGCGGTCAAGGGCTCATGCTCTTTGAAGCAAGGATACACTCATATAGATTGCAATATATTCAACGCTAGTTGTACTCTGGAAACGCACAGTGCAAGTTCAGTCCTTACATTCGCTTCAGATTCGTATACATAGACTAGATGTACTTTACACAGGAATAATACAAAAACTCAGTTTCCATTCCTTTACTATTTTCACGAGGAAACCGTTGAACCGCCACCATCTGAATTTTCGTATTATTCATACTTATTGAATCTTAATCGTGAACGTGACATTGAAGCTTCAGCATCATTATGTCTATACAAATTCACGAAAAGGTTTATTTACGTATTTTGAATCGAATCTTTTAATATTCAGAATAACAACATAGATACTGGTTGGTGAGATAATAAAACGTTTCTGGTGGAATGAAGCACAAATTTAGGAATATATATGACATCCATGTATAGAAAATGGAGGGTGACTTGCAGAGAGTGGCGACTGCTTAGTGGTGCAATTTCTACTGGTAAATCAATGCAATCTGCAGTTATGACAACAGTGATACAGGTGAATGTTCTTTTTGTCACAGTACACCTGACAATCTGCTACACATGTCCATGTCATATACCTAAACTCTATAGAACTTCTATTCCCCAGAAATGATTTATTTTTGGACCACCATAAATCAAAGACTATAAAGAAGAGGGACA